CCGGAATGCAGAGAGATCAATCGACTCAGCCGAGAGAGACGAGTTATCATCGACTTCAATGGTGCCTGCCGTGGCCATCGAGGGCTTGTTCACAGCAAGAGAAGCAACCATTGCGAGTCGCGCTGCGGAGGGGGTAGGGGGCGGTTTGGGAGGTCCCTCTTCCGCGGTCCCTTCTTGCTGCTGTTGCTCCTGTTCTTCTTGCTGCTTCTTTTCTGCCGTGATACGGTCAACCTCGTTGATAGCCGTCGCGAGGAGCATCTTGAACTTCTCCTCGACCCCGTCCAGTTCCGTTCCACAATCGCCAGATCGAAGGACTTGGTAAGATGCCGTCTCGCAAAGCGAATGGGCAAGTTCCAGCTGCTTGTCTGCATAGTCAAAAGGGGAGTCTCTCCGAAGTGCGCTGGTCCCGGAGATACCGACAAGCCCAGATGTGAGTCGAGTACTGCGAACACAAGAGAGTGGGCCTGTCTGTCCTAGTGCACTGGGCATATTCATCACGCCTTTGCTCAATAAGCTCGCTCGCAGGCCTGTACGTGGCATCAATGACATCTGCCCTCGTCTGATGTTGTTCCTGGCCACCCCGATATCGCGTACAATTGCCTCAAGTGTTTGTTGTGTATGGCCATCATACTCGATGATGACATTGTGCCGTATGCTTACCAACGAGTTGTATTCTTCATTGGACTCGACTGATGGAGCCTCATCTGTAGTGCGCTTGCGATCTGAACGTTGGCCTTGCTCGGGCGCATCCTGTGACGTCCCAACTACCACAGGTTCTGGGCTGGGACCCTTTCTTTGTGCGATCGGAACGAGGTCATCGGTATGAATGGAGCAAACCGAGCTATTTTTCCGTCGGCGGGGCTTGAAGTTTGCGTGGCGTCTGTAAGCTTCAGAGTACTCGTCGTGTTTCTTGTGGGTGTGTGTAGCAAGCTCTGAGACGCGGGTGATCCATGCAGGAAGATTGTCTCTCATATAGGTGAAGGCCCCTAGAGCATCCATTGATGCCATGGCTAACAGATATTCGATTGCTGAATCCCCGGTGTTGCCACGCTTTCACGGAAATCAAAGAATCAAGCGTTAAATTATTATATTTGAGCGGGTGTTTCCGGTGTTCGTTTCGTCGTAAATCGTAAGTTCGACCAGAATCGTAATGGTTCACGGCGAAGAGACAAAGAAAGTTGTGCCACAGAGAAGGTAGATCGCGGTGCGGGTGTGGGTTAGGGTGGAAGAGAAGGCTTCTTTAGGAACCCCTCAATAATGAGCTGTGCGTTGGATAGGATCTGCAGTTAAAAAATCAAGTAACGGTGAAGCAGAGTCTGGAGAGGGGAAGTGAATAGGCACAAGGGAAAGAAAAGAGTGTTGGAAATTGAGATAATCGAAGAGCCGTATGATACCAGTATGGTAAATACCGTATTCGGTGGGCCGTACTGATTTGTAAAAAGATTTATATGGGGCTAGGCAGTTTCGGTACGGAAAAGACACCCCTATGTGATGTATTTGATAGGAATCCTGCAGGAATTGTAGGTGAATCACTTGAGCGGTGAGGTAGGATTGCTACCTACATGTATTAGTATCTATTTGTACAGACTAACTAGACTAGTATTGCTTTCAAGGGACCAAATGTACGGAGCCCTATACAACACTACTTTAGCTTGCTCTATGTTGTATACTATTGATCGTTAGACGTGGTAGCATTTCTGACATAGGCTCAAAAAAAGGTCATGATAATCAGTATGACAGAAGATCTGTATAAGGGCCCATCCTTAGAAAGTCGAGTCTCCGGCAAAAGAAATGGGGAGATTGCTGATGAAAGTTGAATCAGACCAGGCCGAATAGAAGAGGCAAATAATAGTGTTGTTGATATCAACGGGTACCTTTGGTAAGAGATGACACGTAAGTGCCCTTTCGGTGACTTTACATTGTACAAAAGCACCTGTGTTTTATGAAAAACAAACACTAAAAATTGAGACCCTGGCACACTATCACGCTATTGGGAGCCGGACGATCCCTTCCGCGGAAGACTCGGGAGAAGGTTGGAGACCGGGGGGGGGGGGGGTTCCCACCACATTGATAGGCTGTAGCTGTTGGTATGTATCGTAAAAACCCCATCCGCCAAGTACTTCTGTCCCCGACCCCCTTAGACTCGACAACTTTCAAATATTTTAAAAAATGCTACGGAGTACTCCGTATGTTGTACATACAACATTGAGGTCTCTAGGTTTAGACATACACACACAAATCTTGATGGGTATTCTAGTGTCTAAGATTGCGCTATGCGAATCATTACAGCCTACAAATACGGAGTATACATGTCGAATTCATAGGGCTGGATGGTTGCAGGGATACCAAAATAGAAACCAATCGGTGCCGAGCCACGTGAATTATCCAAACCTGGTCGAGCACGTCCTATATCAGGAACCGAAGAATTTCCTCCTCCCAAATGAGAACCAGTCCGGAGTAGTATCCCCCCCAATAACATCTCAAACAACCGCAAGTACCCATTCCAATGCTACAAAATGGCGCGATGGTGAACGTTGGGAATGCTTAACGACCAGAAGCAGCCCAGGTCTGAATCCAGCCGTCGACAGTATGCTGGATAGCCTGAGCAGAGGCCATGGTAGCTCGGTGAGCTTCATCGAAGGCCTCCATGCACCTCTCGAGTTCCTGGAGGTTGTCCCGAAGCTCGCGGGCCCAGACACGGTGGACGGACATGGTGGCAGCGGCCTGAAGAGAATCACCCGAGAGGCCAAGGGCCAGGGCCACATTCTCAGAGGCGGCGGAGGGCTTAGCACGGCGACTGTGCGTGGTGTATTTATTGGCCATCGGCTTCTCCTCGGCCTCGGAGGGCACGGAAGAAAGCTCGTCGCTGGAGTCGGCAGGAGCGGGACTCATCTCCTATGTTCTGTGTGTTAGCTTTACGACAATCCAAACCAGAAGTCAAAGGCAGATCTGTGTCAGTACCTTCGTTGTGGCATCAGCGGTCTTACGTCGCCCTCTGGTGGAGGAACCGGCAACAGCAACAGGGACTGGAGTGGACGCAGGGGTCAGAACGGGAGCAGCAACGGGGACTGGAGTGGACGCAGGCGTCAGAACAGGAGCGGCAGCGGAGGGGGGAGACATGCTGGCTGAGACGGCTTCGACTTTCGCGACCTTCACAGGTTGGTAACGGTGAATGCACCGCTTCTTCTTGGCCTTACAGTCAGCACAGGCAGGGTTATCGCTAGGCATCTCAGTATCAGGCACTATATGAACGTGTCCGTGGTCAGTATTGAGTTGGGATAAGGCAGGTCAAGGGATCAGTTTTGAGGGAAGTTACTTTTGCTAATGAAATAGAATAAGATGATGAATGAAATTGTGACAAGTTGGTAGAAGTGAGGGTTCTTTCAGGCAGGCGACAACTAGAAAGCACAACAAAATCTCAGGTCAAGCAAGTTTCAGCACTCGACACCGCTCAAACAAAGATCCTATGCAAACCACCAACATTTCGCTTGACCGTTTTGGGTACTCTATTGAAGCCGATAGATATATACCCTTATAATTTAGAATGAAAACATCCAACGTATATCATGCAAATATCAAAATAAGACAGCGATTACACATTATCTGGATACAAGTTATTCAGGAAAACGAGTGTCCTTACAATATTGGTAGAATCACGGCCACAACTCGGCTTCATCCCACCGAGAACCATCGCTTCCGTCAATCAACGTCCAGTTCCATCTTTTGCCGTTCTCTTGATCAGTAAGATCTAAACACTCAACCTCTTCGGGCCGAATGATGACGACTCGGAAATTTGCCCGTGCAACAGGGTCATGAAGGTCCAGAACCTTTTGACCTAGCTTGAGATCTAGTTGGCTAGGAGTTGAGGATCTAGGTTGTCCAGGGGGAGGGGATCGGAAGAAACCTAGGTTCCCAGTCAGTATGAGCTAGCGATGACCGGCGAACAGGTTTTTCAATCGGCATAAGAGCAAGGCATAAAGCACTTGCGCCCAAGAATCAAGATAGAGACCACATACCTCTTGCGATAGGGGAGTGATTTGCAAAGTACTTTGTGACAGCCTTTTCCCATGTCCATTTCGCAATGTCACTGTCAGTATTCCCCTTTACTCTCAATCCCTTTTTTATCTCAGTTCGGGATAGCTTCTCTTCCTCTGTATCTTCTCCACTTGGGTTGCCAATTGCATATGCCGTCCCCTTGACACGCCACTGAGTCATGAGATCCTTCAGCCAGAATACGACCTCAGTCGCATGACCCGAGGACTCAAGTTGAGGAAGCTTGTCCATTCGAGCATCAGTGGTAAATGACAGCATGTCACTTTCGAATACAGGTGGATTAGCACCGCCTTCCACCTGCTGATCCATAGCTTCCTGGCCCTTAGCGTTGAGCTCGAGTTCTGGGAAGAAACCACGACAGGCGCAAGTCCGCAGGCGAGGTACAGGATGCTGTTGAGCATTGTAGCCAATTGTTGCAATTGTGAATTCACATCCAGGTGTTTGCTCAATATGAGAGCCAAGGAGATCGCGCCATGGGGCACGTGGCGGACCTGATGGTGCGCTCATTGTGACAACCTTTGTTGAGAGACTTCCACTATCTATCTTGATTGCACTAAGTCGTCGTAGGGCCACCTGCAGAGAGCTCTGATGGCCGATAGAGGTAGAAGCTAGAACCATATGCACGAAGATCTTGGCCTCTTTCTCTTGCAAACGCCGATGATCGGATTGGTGGGGATAGAGCTAATAGGGAATTCAGCCTTCAAGATAGGATAATGATAAGGAGAGAGTGTCGATTGGTGTTGTAAGTACAGATATTAGGATGTTGTACGAAGCAAACTTGGAGTAGAAATAGAGATAAAAGAAGAGTGGCATGGACCACGGTTGATCGATGTTGGTGACATCACGTTTCGGTGGTCCGTGCGTAATTGTGTGCAGCCTCCGTTGTGGAGATTGACAACTGCCAACTAAAAAGCCCGGCCTCACGGATGCAATTGATAGAAGTTGCAATGCATCGGATTCAAAGGATATGCATCTGGAAGAAATTGACAAATGAACGCCGACGTAAAGTGGCGTTGGCTGTCAATCGGCCGATCCTTTCAACCTATCTCTACTCAACAAACAATTCCAATTCGGCTAGGCAGTACTCAACAGCACAAAATGCTCCTTGCGCGATCCCAGCAAGCCAACTGGAATCAAAAATCCATCCACTAGGGTGGGAATTGATTCAAGCTCAGGTTGAGCCTTATTTCGGCAACAATTGGAATTTCCCTAGTGAGAAGGAGAAAAAGGGGTTCCTTGGTCTTGGGTTATCCCGCGCCTTTAGTCACTTTTTCCCATTGACGCTATATGATCGCATTGATGTGACATGCAAAATGCTTTACTTGTCATTACTAATTGATGGTGAGTTCTGATAGCCGGAGACTGGGTTCGGACATTTATTGACTCTCGAGATAGACCAACTTGAAAAAATGAGTTTTACGCAAATGCTGTCGTATCGAGACCGACTCATGAAAGTTGCCCTTGGAACAGCGAGCCCAGACAGATGTATCTGTCTTGAGTGGATGCTTCACGATACTGTCATGGCCATGCGAAGTATGGACGAGGTTCTGGCAAATGATGTCGCCCAGGGATTTTGTCAGCTTCTGCAAGCCCAGACGTCCCAGGGGAGAACCACAGCAAACACTCTCGGATCATACCTCAAATTCAGGGAGACAGATGTGGGCAAAACGTATGAATTACTGTCGCTGTTCATTTTCGGACATTCCTGATGAGTACTGACGGCCATTTAGACTCTACACAGCCCTCATTAGATTTGGTGCCAAGCTCGATCTCACTCCCACCGAACTTGAAAATACCGCCGCTTTGGAAAGCACCGCATTTAGGCATGTCAGTGTTATGAATGATATCTATAGCTGGGAGCGAGAATGGAAAGTATACCAGGAAAACCCAACCGATGGTGCCCAGCCATTCTCCGCCATCTACATCCTTGCCAACGAGACAGGACTACCATATACAGCCTGCAGACGATTAATGTATAGCTATTGTCGGGAATTGGAGCTCGTTTTCAAACAATCCAGCGTTGAAATCCGACACAACACCATGGAAGGCTTGACACATGAACTAAAGATGTACATCAAAGGTCTAGAATACTTCATGTGCGGCATTGAGTTATGGAGTCAGTGGACTCCACGATATCGGCAATAAAGCCTCATTTTCAGGATCAAGTCTATCTTGACGCGGGTTCCATTAGTAGCCCGACTCTTCGCATTTGTATACCCCCTGTCGTCTATCCCATATATGATTGTACTCACTTTTACTAAAAGCTTAGCTTGACCGCGTTGTAGGTAATTAACTGATATTATACTGATATAAAATTAAATCTTACGTACTTCTAGACGATAGCCTATTCCTAAGCTTCCTCGTTTTTGGCTTCCACCAGCTGTCTCTCAGTTCGATGGCCCTCGAATGCGTATATCATACTGAGAAACATCCCCAGCCCACCAAGACCAACGGCTAAATATAATGCGCCCCTATATCCTTTCAAGACATCGCCGGGAGTGTGACCTCCATTGTTGACGTGAACTTCCACAGTACCAGCGAATCCCAAACTCAGCGAGATGCTGTAGTTGACAATAGTAGTCACCAGTGACGCAGCGACACCCTGATGCTTGCGCTCGACCGCATTCGACAACATCAGAGTCGCTGCAGGGAACGACATATCCATACCCCAAGGGGTAACTAACAAGCAAACAAATGTCAGTCCCCAATAGGTTTGGTGCACCGGTGCAATTGCTATAAGAACATTGCCCACTGTGAAAGCAGTCATCGACAACACCATAATCAGCGCAGGGCGCATGCGGCCCATCAGCCAGCCGGTGACAACACATGCCATGATACCCACTGGGCCGACGGGAACGAACTGGGCAGAGGTCAGGAGAGGAGTCAACTGACGGAACTTCTCTTCGAATCGCCAGAAGTAGTAGATCCAGATTCCGAATGAGCCCCAGCCACAAGCAACACAGCCAAGGACAAAAGAGACATCGGGACTGAATGCGTGGAACGGAATGAGGGGGTTTTCAGAGACTCGGAATTCGACATAGAAGAAGGCAGCGAGCAACAAAATTCCAACTATCAGAAGGACATACACGTAGGGCTCGCTCCATCCCACGATAGGCGCCTGGTTCCATGCAACGTTCACAAGAACTAGGCCGCCGATACCGCAAACTCCACCAAGCGCATCGAGAGCTTTGAGCAGGCCCAAGAAGGATTTTTCAAACTTAGCGTCGTGATGAATGGATGGGATCACGAGCAGGCCTACTGCAGCACAGCAGAGAGCAACGATAGCCTGGGTCCAATATGCCCAGGGCCACCAAGCCAATTGAGAAAATATTGCGCCGAAGACAGCTCCCAAAAGGGCACTGTTTGGGGCAGCGGCACCGAAGATAGCGAAAATCATATTCTTTCTCTTTCCTTGTGGGTACGTGGCTCCAAGAATAGCCAATGCGTTTGGCATCAGCAATGCGCCACCGATGCCTTGGAAAACACGTGCAAAGATAAAGAGGATATAGTTCGAATAGACGCTAACACCTGCGACAAGAGACCAGAGCGCAATCCAGCAGAATCCAATAATAAACATTCGACGATAACCGAACAGATCGCCGCACCGGCCAGACACCAAGATGAATGTGCCAACGGTCAAAGAGTACCCAGCCATGAACCAGCTCAAGATGCCGGGATCGTCGATACCAAAGCTATCACCGACAATATCAAGCGGCGAAAGACATACTCCGACATTGGTTTGTGTCATAAATTGACCCATGCAAACAATGGCAACGAAAAAGACCTCGTGGATGGGCGAGAAAGTCGAAGCGAGTGAGCGCGCCGACTCGACCGGCTTTAGATTGATACTGTCGGCCCCCATGATCAATCTTTATACAACCTTTTCAGGTATTGGGAGAAGGAGTGAATAATATGAAGTGGAAGATTTGAGTCGCCGGTAGTTCTTTTTGAACCCATCTCCCACCTTTTTGGCCACCAGTCCTATGGCATTAGAAATAAAACTGGGGCTTACGCAAAGTTTGATGATGATTGGCCTGGTTAAAATTCACAGCCAACACCTATCAATTTGATCCACTATGAACCGCAAAAGATAACAGTGGCTTCAGAGAAGTTGGCCTGAATCATATCAGCAAGATGAACGCTAAAGACTCTTAGGCACTAAAATTGGAAGTGCCGTTCTAGTGCTCGTGATATATGAGTGTCGGAAAAATCGGGAACGAAGTCATTCTTCATTGAATGATGTTGGGTCACAGAATCTTATATATCCGAGATCTCGGATATCCGGCAATACGCTCTTTTACGCAATTACAATGCACAATACTTTTGGTTCTCTGGATTTTGTCTACGTTGTATACATCTTCAAAAGACAAGAGCTTCATATTTAAAAGATTTTATTTAGAGTCTCCTAAAAGCTTTATTACCCGACTAATAGGACAACTCCGAGTTCCAGACTATTGACGACATAGAACATCAAGGATGACTTCTCGTAGCTTGGCTAGCTCCAGAAAAGAGGCGATCAACTGAGTAAATATTGTTACTGATGATTCTCCAACTTCCTTAAGCCTTCTAAATAGCTCCATGAAGACAATGGAACAAAACACTGATGCTCTAGAAGCCGGGAGAAACTTCTCCGCAAACGGGCAAAGATAGGTCTACTAAAATGTATGAATGAAGACAGTCACAAGCTCAAAATGTGCCTGAATGCATCCTTAATTAATGTCATTCGATGAGAGATTACCAGGTTATAGAATTTCGAACGAAAAGAACTTATATTAGGGTTAACCCATGAACTAGCTAAGCGTAAAACCCTTGAGCCGCGGGAGCAAGGTTCATACGACGGAGAGCACGAGTTGCAAACCCTTGGAAGTGATCAATATCAAAGTCAAGTGAAGAATTAGGATTTCCCATCCTTGACCTAAGAAGATCGCGTCGTTTTATAATGACTCGTTTGTTGATCGTGGTAGGATTGTGAGGGAACATGATCGATATAAATTTTCGGTAATTAGTGGGTGAAATATAAATTGAATATCGTTAACATACCTCACGTTCTTGGAATACGGTCTCAGTTGCAATGTAGAGCTCAGCAACGCCAGAAACACGATTCCCTGTGACCTTCGACCATTTCACAACCACTTTTACCTGTGGTACCTTTGATATGCTCGTTTAATTTAAGGTTAATGTCTGGGGATGATGATCAATGATCGACGAGATTAATTAAAACCTATATTGTACATATTCCTTAGTTTTGGGTTGGAATCATATGACGGTTATGGACACATTCTTGCTAGGCTCAAGATGGAGATGCCGGTATGCCTTGATTTCAATGTCAAGACTGGCTCAATACTCACAATGAAAGTCTCCAGTATGATATTATTAAGGAAAACTAACATTTACATACCTTTTGTATGGTCTACCTGGTAAAAGGTACTCTTTCAAATGGGTGAATGATGCAAGGCCGGTAATGTGTTAGAGCCGAGTTTATTCTAAGAAAGCTGTCGATGCCTAGTGTCTGACGAAAACTGTTTCTCTATAGACTGTTCGTCAATCACGATATTGTACTTTGTACTTTGGCAGAGGACATAAATCTCCACATTGTATCCACAAGTGACGCCACTCGGCTGACTCGGAGACTCTGACATTTTACGGGCCGAGAATACCGCCGTTCATAATTCTCTTTTATCAGATCGGTTTCTTTTATCAGATGAAAAGTAGTACAACCTAAAGTTCTCTAAAAGGACCCCCAAAATCGGAGAAGTAGTCAATTTGAGCATGGTCACCCTAGACATAGGATATTACTTGGCATTGCACAGCCCGTGTGTATAGTATCCCCATCTGTTTTACTCAAACAGCTTGTAGAAGCAAGTGAAACACGAAGCCGGGGTCCGGTTACCTTGTCTTGGGCATATACCAAAAGTAGGCAGTGCGAAACTCTGAATAAGATCGGCATACGATTATCAATCCAAGTTCTTCTTCCAAGGTGGGTCATATTTGTTCCTGACTAAGAATGAGTAAGATTTCCAAGGTTAATGCAGCCATCGAGTGGATCTACTGGCGTAGATTTTGGCAGCAGATAGGAGTAGACATACTACTACAAGAAGTTTAATAGTCTTACCGGGGCTATAGCGGAAAAACCACGGAGATTTCAGGTGCTAAGATTATCCATTATATCCACAATTGCAACCTTAGAAGGGTCTACTTCTCATTTCGGCCTCAGCCCGTTAGGCTTAGGCTTAGATATACTGTTTCGGGATGAATGGGATACCTGGTAGACAGTGGGTTCTTCTGTTTTGCTCTTTATTCCGGAGTAACAGACACGCAGATCGCATATTGGGATTTGTCTGATCTGACAAAGAGTTCCGCCATGTTCCTGAATACAAAATGGATCACGATGCTTGTAAATCATATTGTGACCCGAAGTATAAAACATCCGTGTAGCCTCGAGACAAATTGTTAAACAAATCACAAGCTTTCGTTATATCGCTCAGGCTACTCTCACTATTGAATCTTCTCCCTCAGAATCAAATATCAATCATGCGCAGCCTCATCGGCCTTGTACTGCTTCCACTAGCGGTTGCAGTTCCCCACGCCTCACAAAAGTCAGAGTCGACTTACGACTACATCATTGTTGGAGGTGGCACCAGTGGCCTCGTCGTTGCAAACCGATTGTCCGAGAAAAAGGACACCACTGTCCTGGTGATCGAAGCCGGCGGCTCCGTTTATAACAACCCAAATGTGACCGACACTCTCGGATACGGCAAAGCGTTTGATACCGACATTGACTGGGCCTACAAAACGATAGACCAAGAATATGCGGGTGGTTCCCCACAAACAATGCGTGCCGGAAAGGCACTCGGAGGAACATCGACCATCAACGGCATGGCGTACCTCCGTGCCCAGGCAGCTCAGATCGATGCGTGGGAGACCGTCGGAAATAAGGGCTGGAACTGGAAGACTCTGCTCCCCTACTTCAAAAAGGGCGAGCACTTGCAAGATCCGACACAGTACCCATTCTTGGATGGATCCGGTGTTGCTTTTGATCCGGCCTACCACGGCTTTACTGGACCACTGAAGGTTGGCTGGTCTTCAACACAGTTGAACGACGGCCTTGCTCAGAAATTGAACACTACCTATCAGAACCTCGATGT